TCCATCAATATGTAACTTGTTGCACAGTGTAAGGAGCTCCTCGTACCTGGCTCCTTTGTGAGGGAAAAAAGAATGTCACGATACTTTGAAGCATTAAGAGACAGGTCACGGGATTCGGACCAGCCATTAAAATCGTTCAGCAATACTTGTAGTCTGAATGAACAATCGTCGCTCCTGTGACTGGTGCCCGGAAAGATATCATCCGCATATTTTACCAGAGTCGCTTCAGTTGGAGCTGACATAGAGCTGACGTAAGTAGAAAAGAGAAAATGCGACAGAATTGCGCCCTGAAAGACACCTGCGTTAGTGAGCAGCGGGGAGGAACATCTGCCACTGAGTCGGGTGATCCGAGTGCGTTCAGCAAAATAGTCACTCAGTAAATAGACAATGGATGGATATACTCCTTGAGTAAGTAGGTCTTCTAGCAGTAATTCGCGGGTTACACGGTCAAATGCATTGCCGTAGTCAAGAAAACACTTCCGAGTTGCTTTATTCCTATTGTCAAACGATGACAATACAGAATGTATGTAATGTATGCCATCTCAAGAGTCTAGCAACTAGACATAGAGCCAACAAAGCCATGGTGATTGGCAGATAAGGGGAAATCACTGCGTCATATTCATCGTGGCATGGTAGTTGAAGGTGAGCAACACACTTCAGCTAATATGCCACAGGAAGAATGGAACATTTTGACAAAAAGTAGAACAAAACATTTAGTTTGTTTTTCACATGCCGATTTTTCTCTTTTCAATGTTTGTAGGATTAAACATGTGAATCAGTACAATACTGTACACAATTCTTCCACTGATTCTGGTTGCGGGCCATGTCTTCAAGAGTGCTAATCCATTGGCACTCCTCATCTTTGGGTCCCCATCCTGGAAGATGCAAGGATTCAACAGCGGCTAGACACGACGTCAGCGATTTCAGGTGCTGCCGCCAAGTGAAGGCTGACCACCACGCGGTCGCCTGTAGCCAGGTCCTTGAAGAGCGAATAGAGCGCAACGCGGTAGACGCTCAGGTTTCATGCGTAGGACGTGACCGAACCATCTTAACTGGCGCAACAAAACCAGTTTGTTGAGGGGAACACTCACGTTCTTCAAGATGCGACGTAGAACGTCATTACCATTAACTCGATGTTGCCACCAAACACGAGCGATCCTCCTTAAGCAACCGTTATCGAACGCAGAAAGACGACGCATGTATACCACGCAAATCGGCCAGGACTCGCACCCATACAACAATACTGAGCGAACTGATGCGCTGTAAATGCAGCCCTTTAGTGAGAATGAGACGTCACGACGACGCCACAAGTGCCTCAGATTGACAAACGCTGATCGAGCTTTAGCGATACGAAGAGAAACTTCTTTTTTGATAGTGCGGTCAGCAGAAACACAGCTCCCGAGATAGACGAAACTATCTACCTGTTCAAGTTGTGCACCTTCGAGAGTGAGCACGGGAGTATGTGAAAGCCAATCCTTGAGCAGTACTTTACACTTCGATGGGGCGAAGCTCATGCCATACTTAGATGCTTCAACCGCCAAACGATCCAGAATGAGTTGCATACTCTGAAGATCGTCACCAAGTAAGGCGATATCATCAGCAGAATCTAAGTCGGTCGCGCGCTCACCCGGTAGAAGCTCTAGGCCAAAATGTTGGAAACCTTCTAGAGCACTCGACAGAACGTCTTCGATTGTGAAGTTGAAGAGGAATGGGGACATAGGGCAGCCCTGTCGCACACCGCTATTGGCAACGAATTTCGAGGAAAGCTTGCCATAGACCCTCACTCTGCCGGATGTATGAAGGTAAAGTGCTGGTGAGATGGCGGTATATTTCTATGGCACCCCGTTCTTTAGCAAGCAACGCCCTAAAGCAGGTCGATCAACGGAGTCAAAAGGCGCACGTATGTCCAGGAATGCAACGATAGTGGGCCTGTGATAAATGTGGCGATGTTCGTACAAATGTACGAGGTAGGCACAGCATATATCGTAGACCTCAAACTACCATAGGTGAACTGGTGGTGGTGGTGCGTAGTGCGTGTTCCGAACGGCATCATTTTGAGAATGACTTTCTCCAGAACTTTCAAAGTAACGGGATTGCTCGCAATAGGTTGATATTTGTTGGATCCTTTTTCTGGTACTGGTGTAATGTTAACACTCCTCTAGCAGTCGGCTGTTTTGTGTTACTGCATGTACATTATTTATATATTCGCAAGTGGTGTTGCCAAAAAATCGGCGCATTCTTTGTGTAAGATAGGAGATAGCATGTCCGGTCCACTACCTTTACCGGAACGTAGATGTTTCAGTAGATTATCAATGGAGGCAGTAGTTCTGTATACCCAGAACTTTAGCACAGGAAGACGCTGGAGCTGTAGTATTATTATACTTGCAGAACCACTGATTCTATTTCTCTACGTCCGCACCAAAATAAGGCGAACACCACTAAGCGTTTTCAGCATCCTTACGTGTTCACTATAACTGCCGTTCCCAAGAACATACTGGAAGTACACTTTGTTAAGACGGTGTAACACTTCCTTCATACAACCTGCGAGAGATCTTACTGATGTGCCGCCTTTTCCTTTAAACGCTTTCTCCTTAAGTTGGCCTAGCCGCTTCAGGTGGGGGGAGAAAAAGCAATCAACGCGGACCTAACTAGTTTCCAAAGGGTAACAGATATCAAAACAGAAGTTTATATAGAGTGTCAAATTGTCATTACACCTGGATCCATCAGCGTCAAAAACAGATTAAATTCCATCGAGGTGATCATTTCGTCTGTCGAGCTTTTGTAGCTAGAACTATCTTCACCTATTCCTTCGATCATTGTAGCGAATGAATTTTTGGTGGTGGTTCTTGCTCTAGATAGGGGAAATCTTAACTGTTGGGTGTTCAGAATTTCCGCTTTGAGCCCGAGTACATACTGAGAATCACTTCTCATTATTAAAAAACACCAGGTCCAAGGTTGCGTTTAATCTGGTGGGCAGATTGATGATATTTCGCAACCCGAGTGCCGTGTGAAAAGTAGTGTTACACCTATTGAAATCTTCATCGAAGGTTCACAGAGAACAATCGATACGTTCTATGACAGCTGCAGTAAATTCATGGTATAAATTCTCAGCTTCAGCTTTGGGACAGATAGGAGATTCGTAGATGTTAGCCAACAATATTGAACGATAGCCATTCAAACACCGCGGCTTATATTGTATGAGTAAACAATTGATAAAATGTGAGGAGAAGCAAAAGACAACTTTTGTTGCAATACACCAAACGGATTGGTGTAAATTAGCGCTCTACCACCTCGGGTTCGGTACGTGCATGGGCGGTCAACCCGATGGCAAATAAATTCCCCAACGGATACGACTGCATCATCTACTTCTTCATGGAGCCAGGTTTCTTACAACATGATGATTCCAAGCTGCGAAAACTTTCTTGAGAAAACAACGTTAGACAATTCATTTAATTTCCCCATGAATGAGCGGATGTTGATGCTAAGCAATACTGAGACGTTCAGATTTCTCAATTTTTTCCTTTGAAGAGCAACTCTTCCTCCAGAACGATGTTTTCTAACAGAATGGTTACGCTCATTATATATTCGTTTCAGTTTGTTTCTGATGACAAAACCGTTCGAAAATGTACGGGTTACGAGCGTAGAAAAAGGTAGCGCATTTAAAATACCCGGTGAGTATATGTGCATCGCGGGATAAGTGATGAATTAAAACAAGGACCGACAAAGCAAAATGTTAGACATGAGAACGTGTGTGTTGATAAACTGCAATTGAGGGATCGTAGAGCACGGCCATATTTGAAGGACCCGCCATTACAGGGATTGCAAAATCATTGATACGGTACAGTTGAACTGACTTCTATAACCTCAGCTAAAGGATATAAAACAGGTGTATCGTGCTTATAATCAAATCACAAAAATGCATGGACCGATAATTCGTATGTCAGGGGTTCGATTTGCTGTCGAGGCAGATTATTGTGCAATGTTTAATCGTGGCTTCTACTTTCTACGAAACTTACACTACTCACAAAGGCCACCAATAATGTACATTTACCATCGCCCGTTGAACATCAGGAGGACAGATACTTCGGTTCATTGGCAAGTGACGAGTGAGTGAGCCAATCGGCAACACCAGGACGGATACTGTGAGTTTATTGGCAATACGTCTCGAACCAAGCAGAAGTAAATTATTAAATTGCGCACCTGATCGCCAGTTCTCGATAGCTCAATGGTAGGGCAGCGGACCGGTAATCCGTATGTCTGCGGTTCGATTCCTCTTCGAGGCAGATTATTATGCAAATTTTTATCATGACTTCTACTTTCTACGAAAACTACACTACTCACAAAACCACCAATAATCTAAAAAAAGATCGTCTATTTTTACCATTACTTTTAAGTTAACAATGGAAGATTTATGCATCATATGGAAGCTGCAATTAAAATATGCTTACAGTAGGCACATTTGACATAAATCCGGACCATACGCACAATTTAGGCAGCCAAGGGTTGGGAACTTGCGACTTCGTTTGCAACTTGTGGACAACTGATACAATACATAAGCGTAACAACTATGCTAGCAGCGGAATAATAACTGTGGGGAGTTGGAATATGAAGTTCATGCAATTCAGGTGAATAAATAACGGTGTTTATTGGAGCAAGTAACAATACAAGACGGGAATGGGGTCCTAATATTTTCGAAGTTCGAACTAGTGAGAACAAGGACAGTAAGCTATCAAGAGTGATTCTCCCATATTGTGCAGGATATCAAGGTACTTTGCAATTTACAGGCTGTCGGTGCCAACCTTCTTGTACTAAGGTTGCGAGCTTTCCAAACATAGAATGGTATCAGTTTTAATCAAAAGATTTTTGTGCAATATGCACTAACATCTATTGTTAAGCAACAAAATGCATATTCCTTAAAGTCCTGAGTGTTAATCAAAAGATTTTAGTTAATGTGTTTGGTGTACACTACCATCAACAAAACACATATTTTATTCTCCCAGTTCTACCAGACACAAACCAACATGTATATCGCCTCCGTGGTCGCTTCATTCGTACTGGTGCTAACCGTGGTCGATCTGGTGGCGAAAACTTGGCAGCTATTATCGCAAGTGAGTCACAACTTGGCAATAGATTTGCATAGCTGTTGCTCAAATTCCTAGGTATAACACTCCAAATTCTTAGTAATAATCGTAACGGTTTTATACTAAGGCGTACAAAATCCTGTTGTACGGTTGTACTTATATGTTATTTGACGTAGATTGCCCTACAAAGCAGTAAATGGATGTCGTACGGTAAGATTCAATGGAGGTTAGCTATCGCTGACAAAATATGGGGCACATACCATAAGTTAACAGGCTGAATTCATAAAGGAAACTAAGAAAAACCCTACTGAATCAAAGACACATAGGCAAGACAGAAACCATAGTGGGAAATTTATTCGAAGGTAGCTAATGATGGGGTACTACATTCAATTACAACTATTGAATTCAAACACGCATCAGTGATAAACTTTCTGGAAGCGTGTCGCTTATCAGGTTTAGAGCAGTATCTGCTGCAGAGTTGGTCACTGGGATTCCAAGCTGCTGTTTTTGCCACGAGATTAGTTGTTTCCCAGTTGGAATTTCTTTATTATCTTAGATGGTATGACTGGCAGGTCTGGTTACGTGAATTCACAAGTTCTCATTCAGACCTGTTTTAGTTCACTTTATCTGGAGACGTTTCGCATCAGAGCTGCTATCACACACCACTTTAGGGAGTAAGTACGCTCTAAAGTGGGGAACACCAATAGCCGAAACAGCAAAGTTATCCATAGCGTTCCTCTAGGGAAATCCTAAGGAACGAACACCCAGTGGCTATTGGCAAGAAAGCAGCATTCTACAGCCTCTGATCAACGTGTGAAGAAGTGTTTGTAACCTATAACTAAGAACAAGATCCGGTAGAGGCAAACAAGTGTAAACTGCCTGCTAATGTCCCTGAGATCGCTATCATTGTTATGGGTTTGTGGAAGTTTCAACTTTTGTCGATAACATATATCACCACCTGATCAAACGGATCGGGATAATGAGTGTTCCAGTTGTCTGCTGCAACCTGAAGGCTTATGTCTAACGCCCTATTCCTTCCATCGGTAATTTCATGCTTTACCACTTAGTCGAACGTGCGCTAGTTACGGCAGGTGATAAGTGAACAATCATGTCCATAAGCATGCTTCGTCAAAGTCGTCAGGAACAGAAAAGCCTCAATAAGTTTATATATGTAGTACGGTCTCGCAGACTGACCTATGGGAATATTTATGCACGATATAATGCTATATATGACTTTGCCACGCTTTGTTGGAACGGAAATAATTGTAACCAATATCATTCTTCAACTCATCTATTAGGATGGAATGTGGTACTAATGGATATTGGCAAAACAGATTAACGCTAACATGAATTTGCCTAATAAATGAGCCACTGGTCTTATGCCGTCCTAATATCTTCCCGTGCTAACGTGTTTAGGGTGTCAGAGTAACAAAACAAACAAATGAACTGACCTCAATACACACACGGCTTCAACACATTGTACGCTTTCCCTGTTCTTAGCCAGTGTCGGTGGATAGTCACCAGTTCGACATAAAACTACAAATCTAATTTGCAAAATACTCTGCTTTTGAACGAGTACTACTTTTCTAATTGATGGTATTTGATTTGATTCAATTGGCTCTAACTAGGCGTATGTAACTCGTTTGTTGATGTACAGCAATCAAAAGAACCTGCGATTGAGTAAGATAGGGTTTTACCACAGAAATACAGTACAACCCTATAAATTCCACTACTACATTATAGTTAATAAAAAGTTTACGAAAGAAGTACTGCGTGCCGTCTGCAGGCAAGGCCATTCCCTTCGAGGAGTTGGGTTACGCGTATCTATATTCTCAAGTGTACTACAAGGCCGGAAAAGGGTATCGGCACTGTACACCAGATATCAGTAATCAAAAACCACTGAAACTTGACCTGTCATGCGCACCTGCAAGCATATTTTTCACTTGCCTTGAATTACTCGTCTACTATTAACAGTAATACTGCAGGCAAACATTTAGCTTCATAGCCAGAATATTAGGATTCAAACGACGACTACACAAGCACCTACGCCTCACTGGACATGACTCTTAAACAGTATGGCGATTAGCCTCACTAAAACCACGGAGCACAATTAGGAAACTGTGTTCACGAACTTAGTGCCTTAATGGCAAGTAGGCGAAAGTACAAACCACATGAAGGGGCTAAACATGGCAAGCTACCCGTACGCACGAAATTGTTACTTGGGAAACCCAAGGCGGCGTTTTTAAGAAGAAAGGGAGATAAGATACCCCATATGGCTAAGCGTGATCAGAGGCTTGGCATACGAAGATATCTCATGTGCACGCATAGCAAAACTTAGATTAGCAAATTCGAAAAGCGGCATAAAGCTATCCAACTTGGAAGGAGGCGATAGCCGATATTGTTTGAGTGCGTCCGGACGAAGTAAGATTACAAAATGTAGAAAAGTGCGGGGCTGTACACACCGACTCATATTAAGGCTCAACTAAGAGGTCACACAGAAAATGGTTGTCGGGACAAGTTGCCAGGGTTTAGATCCCAAAGCCACCTAGGGTGGGGGATAAATAACATTAAAATTCGTCTTCCGCTGTTCTTTAGATTGACAGTAATTCATGGTTAAACAAATTGGGAGACTACGCGCATACTCTAATCTTTATGAGCAATGCCTTCGTCTCCTCCACTTTGTTGCCCTAGTTTTGACTATACCGATTTGGATTGATAAGTTTTCATTTCCCCAGTTGACACAGATAGTTACTGTACGCAAATCTTTATCAAAAGGAATTAACTTACAGCAATTGTAGTATTAACATTGACGCAGTTTCGTACCACCATGTAAAACAATTCCGGTTTTTCCAAGTTTGCACAGTATGCAAAGATCCTAACGCAAGATAAGACTCATTCCATCAAACTTTTAGGCCTGACAACAATCAACTTTCACAGGAACAAACGCTTCACAGATAAGTTATTTTAAGGTAGCAGACTAGGTTTCGCTTTTGTTTAATGCACGTAAACATTATTCACCTTCCAACGAGTTTTCAAACACTGCAATCGCAACCAGAATTCTGCTTTCTGGACAAATGTGCCGCGTTTGCTTTACCATGTGAACTTACGATGTAGCAATTGTCTCACTGAATCTGGTCTCAGGTGACATCACCATCTCGCCCAAGATATTTTCCTGTTTCCACCAGGGTAATACCTAGGCTATCCTTTCTTATGCTTGTGAACAGCAAAACTATACTTTTCCATCATTATCCTACCCATTTTGAAACTGGGCTAACCCCCGAAAATTTTCAAAATGCTTCATAGGCTTCCGCGTTGATCATTTCTGTGGATAACTAGTTGATAAGCAAAATTATGTGTGGGATTTAGTTTCGCCTCTTGAGGAATTTTAGGTTAGGGAATCTATAAATAACCGTTCAGTGATCAAAGCCCAAATCAATGAAATGTCTTCCACTCCAAGACATAATTCCTGTCGCCTTAAGAGCTGTCCTTTTCCGTCCTTAAAAAGCAGCGCCAATAGATAGCAGTCTGTACATCCGAACAGAGCTGCAATGCAAATTATTGCAAATGTCGTCCAGTGTAGTTCCTAATCATTGGTGCTTTAATCAAATCCTCCTGTCTAGGGCTTAATAACCTAGGAGTAATAATGTCATCCAGTAGTCCAAAGTCTTAGATTCATGTCTCTTGTCGGTCATTTCTATCAGACGAGTGCAACTAAACAAAAAGAGATGGCTGACTACAGGGTTATGCGCAGGTAACACACCGAATTTTGAACGCATTAAAATTAAGAAATAGGGTAGTTAATTCCTCTTTTGTACTTGGTATCAGCTAAAGAAAATTAAGCGAGCTGCTGTGTAGCATGCACATGACAAGCGAATTTTAGCGTTATAGACGAAATGTGTTACAATAAAGCCCAACCATATTGTTTGTAAAAGTTACAAAACAACAAATGGATTCGCTAAGGGGCAAACACCAACTCCCATACCGTTTTTTAACTATCAAATAGGTCGTACAGTATACCAGATCATTATGTCCGTGGTTGCTTTGCAAGTAATACGTCGAGCACGCAATGATATAAGAAGCTACTTAAATAGTTATGTGAAAAATTAATATAGAAAGCTGGTTATCTCATATTTTGAAATTTTGATCCTGCAAGTTTAAAACTCCAACGGACAAATAATAGGTTTTCCGTGTTCGAATTGCTGTGCTCTATGACTTGTTGCTGGCGTGTTCATCCTCTCTGGGTCGAAGGGGCAAAACCGCAAATCGATCGATGAACGTAAAGATGGGCGACCAATGGCGTTATGTCTACGCTATTGGTTTGAAGTTGAAACACGTCACAACGGTCACGGATCCATGGGCGGTTAGCTTGAAGCATCACCGTGTTAGGAAAATGCAAAATCAGTCTTAATAGCATTCATGATTAAGATTCGGGTGTAGTACGATCGTTCCAGTTTTCAAGTAAAAACATCAGCAGATCCCCGTGGCTTTATATGGACCAAGTACATGTTCATGATTACTTCATGAAACTGGTTTATTGAATGCGAACTATTCTTGTGTCAAAAAACGACGTTACTAAGTAGAGCATGCCTCACTTCCATCAACCTCCCAGAGAAAATACGTGGTCGGCTATTTTAGTTGCAGGATTCCAACCCGCGGTTACTTTCGCTGTAGTTGTTTATTACATCCAGACCGCTAAAATGGCATACATCCAATTTAGTGCCGGAATCTTTTTTCAGCGTCTTGAATATTTCAAGGATTGGAATAATTACGTGGAATTTTTACTCAGCGCACTCGCAATGATTTATTCAGCAATGACACTGGCGGGACACATGGATCATCACCAAGTTGGTCTTGGAGTTATCGTCATGTTCCTGGCCTGGTTTAACTTTTTGCTTCAAATGATGCGGTAAGCTCTTTTCTAACGACCGTATTGATTTGCATCATAAAAAGTCAGTGAACAGCCGTTTCTTTGAGAACCAAATGCAATGTTTTATCTATCATACGAGACAAGTATTCAAGGAAGTTAAACCGGCTGTCCATGTCTTCCCTTATCGAACGAAATGATCATCTAACGCTTGGCGACTGTGTTAAAGCCATTTGACCCAATGTTCGACCGTCGCGAGTCATCTCTAAACTAACCCTATAAAGGTAATTCTTAAATAGGCATGGCCATTAAGTCGATTGATAACGAAATAGTTAGGATGCATTACTTTCCTTCGAAACCCATTTCTTCACAAAGCACATGAAGCGGGTTTTTATTATGCACTTGTATTCTAAAGGCACATGGAGACTAATGCGCATAGATGATGCCCGAATGAGTCGGCAATTATTTGACGCTGGCTGTCGAGATAGTTTAAACCAACCATAGCTTGGCTTTCTTATTCGTCTACCGATGAGTTCGCCAATCCACATTATATAATTGCATACGGTTCGCCATTATGCGAAGTGGAATCCTCGGTGCGGTTATAGGCGGTATCATTGCGAATGCTGAGCAAATTATAAGTAGAAAAACAAGCTTCTAGGAATGATGATCCTCGTTATGTTTCCATTTGGGCCAGAGTTTCTATATTGTTTCAGCCAAGCCTATTCCTAATCATCCACATGCGTAAAGTTTTCCAGAACTTTGTTATTCTTGTAGCAAATCCGATTAATTTTTCCTGTCTCTCTCCCATTGCTTTTTGCACAATGATGGCAACATATTGCAGATCTCGCTTGCTCGTTCATATTTCCAGTGTTCTCTTGGGTTTTAGAATGCCTATCTCAACATCAAATTTGGTTTGCTGCCAATCATGTTATGGTGTTGTTTGAAAAATTTAGTCATAATTTAATATGTTTTCTATGCGACAAAACGAAAAGCTTGTGCGCTTTTGGTATTCACTCTGCTAATCATTATGCAAATACACGGAAGATAGTTTTCTGTTTTAAACTATATTTTAGTAGAAATGTCATAAATTGCATTGTTGAATAGTTAACTACAGTTATTTAATCGCTTTTGGGTATTACTGGTGTACTGTCGACGTACGGGAGCCATAATTTGGGCACCTGATTTTAATAGGTATGCTTTCAAATTTTCATAAGGAATTTGGCGATCAGCCTTGATATTTAGATTCCCATACTTGCCTTCTTTATTTGCCTCTTCGTCCCTAAGTTGAAATGGTATAAGTCGTAAGGCCTCTTGGAAAAGTTTTGCAAACCTTTTCGTCTGTTATTTTACCGACAATCTTTCTGCTGTTTTTCGGGCATTCCACGATAACTACTTCTCTCAACTGCAAGTTGACGGATATGAATAAAGAAGTGAGATAGTGGGAAACCATTTTATTACTCTGAGTTACCTGAGCGCAGTTTCCGCAATGATATAACCCATTTGTTAGATATTTAAATCGAATCTAGTAATCCTTTACCAGCATTTACCCTGCGGTCATCATCAGTCAGACGAGCGACCGATAGCGGAGGAATTTCGGTCACACGCTCTTTATGGCCGCAAAGTGCAGCAAAGATTACTGTCCCTTCCACACTCCTCTCCAAGAGTTCGAGGTAATGATTGTAATGAAAGAAGGAAATGGTAACCCAGCATTTGTCTGAATGCATGTGTTCGCTTACCTATTTGGCGCAGATAGGCAATAACAATGTCTCGGTATATGTCCAAAACATTACGTCGACTTGCCTCACAAACAGCCTTGCTGAGAAGCTCAATTAGTGGGGCACACATGAAAAGATCGGTATCCCCTGGACACATCTGACCCAAGCAGTTATTGGTAAGATGTGTAACAGAATTTACTTGCAGCTGCCATATGGCGTGCGGGATTCATTGCATGCACCGAAGCCATCATCGTGCAGAAAGTACGTCAATGGATGCAGCGTGTGAAAGAACGCGTGCCGGTAGAATGCAAGAGCCGCTCCATGTATCCTTGTCACAAACGTGAATATATTGTCCCCTTAAAATGTGATACTGACGAATAGGAGTGCGTTAGTTTGTTCGTTCTGGGGTCATTGAGCGAGTTAAATTGGGGATGTCGACCTAGTTGCCTGGAGCGGAATTTTGGAAAATGCTATAGGATAAGGAGATTTATGCCACCAAATGTTTTCCGAGTGACCAAAACGTGACCGAACTTTGATTCAACGGGAGCTATTTCGGACGCTATTTGTCACTCCTGCTAACAGGGTTAATTGATGTTTCTGGAAGGGAATCAATTTCTCATAAGCCGGTACCACTTTTACGTGCTTTTTATAGTCCCTGCAAATTTGAGATCTTCAAGTCGCGGGTTTTCACTATATCTTTCTAATTCTGTGCCCTCCTACGGCAGCTAGAGTTTATTCGACATTGTGTTTACTTGGTTTTTAATTGAGCTACTGGGTCGCATTTAATGTGCCTATATGTTGTATCGCCAACCAGTTTTTCTTTTTACAATACACACAGTCTTTTCAGCTATGGTCATCAGGCGGTCTTCGTCCTTGGTGTGGGTAATTTTTGGCTCAGATCCCAAGCCTTTGCTTGCTTGGTTCTTTTATCGTGATAAAGATTAGTATTGTTTGAGGTGCGCCGACGAGTGCGTGTCATATTTCCCCAGTGTTTAGATATAGTCATCATCAGCGCCATCATCACCATCATCATCCTCATCATTATCATCCTCATTCTCATCCTCCTCCTCATCATCATCCTCAATGCACGTTAGTTGAGGGTGAGCAAAACACCTCAGCTAATGTGCCGCAATACGAAAAGATAAGACTACAAAATTACACTACAAATTACACAAATTACACGAGAAGAAACATGATGGTAAATATTATACTGTGCGTATTGCATGAGATCAGGATTGGAGGGGAATCTAAAAGGGAGGGGGATGGACAAAGAAACTCACAACACAAACGCCACTGGAGCCGGCTCTTCGCCATAACAACGTGTCCAACGAAACGTGTTCATCGTCCTTCGGACCCCAGCCAGGCAGTCTGGATGCATCAACCGACGCCAGTTTTGAAGTCGGGGTTTTCATTCCTCTCGGCCAAGTCATCGCTTGACTTCCCCTCCTCCCCTTACAACCGCACCACCGGCTTGAAACAATGCACTTCGCAAGAGTCGGTGTGCTGGCACACGTAACCTGTGGCCCAGCCGTCGGAGAATGGTGAGTGATGTAATGTGTTGAGCGGTTCACTCCCACTTCTTGCACCAAATACGCGAAGTCGAACAAGCTCATTGCTCATGCGGTGCTTCTACCAGAAATGAGCTAAGCTGGGAACGCAGCGATGAGCAAATGTGACGATCCTCTTTAAGTCTATCGATCTGACGGGCCAGGTTTCACAACCATATAAGAGATTTGAACGGACGGCTGCGTTATAAACTTTGCCCTTCATGGAGAGAGTGATGCCGCGTCTTCGCCACAGGTGGCGGAGATTGGCAAGAGCACCTCAGATGGAAAATGCAATACAAAGAACCTTTTTTCTAACAATTTCTTAGATATAGTCAAGTGTGGATGAATGAAATACCAGCAACTTTAACTAATTGTGTACGATCATTACTGTTGCTACAAAGTTTAGTGGGGTTAAGTGGATAGAAAATGAACTCCAGAAAAAGGGAACATGTGCCTAAATGGTTTCAGCATCGAATCACCCAGTCGTTGGTTGCTCATACCACCTGTTCACGTAAGCCACCTGCTTCATCCATATTTAGGCATTTGCTGGCCACCTGTCATCAGGTTGATACTGATACTGATACTGATTAGAAGCAGCGAGTAGAGCATACTCTGTGTAGCTGCATCAGTTGTCGCTCCTGGATATTAACGTATTAATTATCGTTCCGCTCTCTATATTTTGCCTCTGCAAAGTGTTTGTCTAGAAGCTTCTTAAATTCGGCCACTGAGTTCGCCTCTATTACCGGCTGCGGCAGATTGTTCCAGGTATGCACCACTCTACGTTCGAAACAGAGTTGGCGAGCTACCCGCTTCAACTGCGGTGCGATAAGTTTGTACCGGTGTCCTCGCGTGTAGCTTGGTGTGCGCAGATGAAGCAGTTGTATCAACATGGGGTATTCACTAAGATGTAATATCCGGTGCGTCATGATTAGGTCAACCCTCAGCCGACGATATGCTAGGGTGTACAGCCCTAGTTTCTTACATCGGTCTTCATATGGCATACCTCGTAAGTTGGGAATCAGCCTAGTGGCTACATGCTGTACCCGCTCAAGCTTTTTTACCTCTCCCAGCGTGATAGGACAATACGCGGGAGATCCGTATTCTAGCATTGGTCGTATTATCGAGACGAAGAGGCGAGTGGCAATCTCTTCGGACCAATTGCTGAAGCTGCGCCTGAGCGCCCAAAGCATCCGAAGGCTGTTTTGGTACAGCCTATTTGTGTTGTCAATGGACTTTAGGTCGCAGCGTGAGAGCACACCGAGCTGGCGCACGATAGACGCGGGATGCAGCGGTTGATCAGCCACTGTGTACGTTCGGCTGTACTCGCATTTACCCAACTTCATGAATTGCGACTTAGCAGGGTTGATCGGAAGGTTAACATCTTCAGACCATGTCGAGAGGCTGTCGAGATCCTGCTGAAGTAAATCACAATCAATGAGTGTGCGGATTACTCTCCACACCTTCAAGTCATCTGCGAACAACGCACAAGGTGACTGGAGTAGCTTAGGCACATCGTTTACATGGATCAGAAACAATATCGGCCCCAGTACAGTGCCTTGGGGCAAAATGTTTACAATCGTGTTAAGACATGCTAACGCCCATTTCCTACGTTTCGCAGTGGCAGTCGCGATCAGCCGTATCAAACCCGCACTCTGTGTGCACAAATAGTTGTTCGTAAGCCTACGGCTGCCCTGGGCGTAGGGGTGTCACGCCTGCCCTCTACCCTGTTTTAACCTGTTGCGGTCTCACCCTACCTGTCGTCTTATATATCTTCATGTTATTGTGTTGGCACTAAAGAGACAATACGAAATGTTGACATCTGCCAGTGTACGTCTTCTTACGGCTTTATTCAAAAAATAGTTAATCCGTTATTCTTCATGAAACGAGACAATTTATATTAGGGAATGATCAGCAGCTGGTAAGTGGTCAGTGACATAAATCAATTTTGGCTTGAGGCAGTTTCTAGAAATACTTTGGAGAACCAGTCTAGTTTGCTGTTACCAAAATGATGCGCACAAAGCACACCAGAGATGATGTGACAGGACAAACTTTATAAGGAAATTACTCATGCAATATCTTGGAGAGGTTTATTTACAAAGGCCTCTTTCTTAATGCTTTATAAGAAGTGCAAATTATAGTTATGGGTTTTCGTTAAAAATGGATTTGGGACAAGAACTAATGATAAAGGCGTTGCAGATTTGCTACCATTTTGTAAGGCGTATGTCACATAATGAATCTCATCGTCGCTTTCGGTGGAGTGAAGCACTGTCAGTTGAGGAACGAAATGATTCATAGGCACGTAGTAGAGCGCAATCTAGTCTTGTTATTAACTCAAAGTAACGTTTTAGCCTCAAACTGAGCAGATTTTTCTAAATGCATCACGAGGTTGGATGGCATAAGGAAGTTAAACTGATATGATGGCAAAAGTCCATTTTCATTTGCGCGAAACTCAAGTGTTGTATTATCGAGGATACGAAATGCATTGCCATAGAGATGTATGATGCTTGGTTAGCCATTGGCAGTCGCACTTGTCTTAAGGGTCTAAATTCGATACTCACTGACTGACTGTAAGCACGTTGCGCCAGATGTATAGACAGTGCTGGATATGGAGGTTTTAGGGGGTTTCATGATGGCAAGGCCAGGCTATTTTTATAGATATGTGCACAGCTATTAATCTGGATGCACTGAGCCACTTCTCATAGAATCAATCTACAAATATATTTCATGCGTTAAGCGCTTGCAGTAAAAATCTTATAGTCAGGAGATTAGTAAGCACTCGCAGAATCTATAGTTGAAGAAGATCAAAAGCGTTCAAAAGGATAAATTATGGTAGTGAGGCGGAAGGAAGAAATTGCTCGGATGATAGATGAACCATGAAAACCGGGGTAGACGAAAAGGGGAACAGGAGCAATGAGGGCTGGCAGATGGAGCTACGCTGGTCTGACGGAAGCAGACAAGAACGTATTGTGAGCGGTGGAAGCTGGTGAGTCTAAGACAAGCAACACAATGAGGGCTTTCCTTGTAAACGCGATAACTCAGACAAAAACACCGTTTATGCAGCATCCAAGACAGAGCCCAAGAAGAACAATGCAACAACAATTAAGCAATACACGAGCTTTCGAACGACCCCAGGTTAATCCTAATGGGAAGTGTAGAATCAGAGATACGGGGTGAAATCGCAGGTAAACTCCCACCACATAGTCCCGAAGATACACGGGTGTGTAGTGAGCAGACAAAACAAGAGCTGGTGCGTCTTGCGTATGAAGCGTGACTCATTTATGTGCGCCCGCGTGTGTGGGCGGATGGCTTTTGATCGGTTCTTTATATCTTGCGCTTTTTGGACGCACTTTTTGCTGCAATACAAGCCGAGGGGGCTTCGCTAACGTTAAAATCATGATTGGTATCTTATCGCCAAATAAAGGTCTTATGACGCCTTTTGGGTGTGATAGTTTTCACTTTCGAGGTACACATCACAGACTGACATGTCAGCGCTAGTTAAGCATAATGCTGGTGGTGATTTCCTGTGGACGGTTGTGGTTAAATGCAATAGCTTGAGCCGCAGTGAATTTCATTCCCAGAAGTATAATGTTAACAACGATCTCCTCTGACGATGTGGGTATAATTTGCATGATACGTTAAAGCCAGGAGACTTGCATATTTAGTGTTTAGTTTTCTTAAATAAATGAACTTGTACTTTATTGTTTAGACCCCGGGTAAATTTTTCTCGGGAAGACACTGTTCCGGGAAAATCGAACCTGACCATCAGCTACCTATATTCGACAAGCGATAAAATAACTTTTTCATTTCTTTGGCCATTGACTGTCTATGCTTGTTCGATCACACTTTCTATGCAGATCTCAAGAGAAGCGATGCATTGCGCGACCAGAATACCAGATCGGCAGGACCAATGCAGTTTCACTGTTGAGTTAAAATATAGAATTTAGTAATTCCGGAGAAACAATTCCGCTAGAGTTGAAGAGCATCACTATTGCGGTTCAACCAATGTCCCGAAGCATAACTATTTCTGTGGAAGTAATACTTTTTGACGCAGCACCTTTGTACTGATTTAGTGATCAGGCAATCCCTATCTGACGAGCCCAAATTAGGACGAAACCGTTTGCCTGTGGGGTGCAGCGTTATGCGAATGCGGCTCCTAAACTATAAACTAGAAGCCTTAACGTGTTGTTGCAATGAAGTTCTGCTTTTGAATCAGACCATGCGTGTGTTTAAGTGGTGGTAAAACTGGTAGTCTCGAAAGTTGCACAACACCTGGAAACCACCACTGTATTCGATTACAATTTAGACCTGCGAAAAGGCTATCGATGTACTCAGAGGTGCGCATGTAATTATAAAAGATTAATTATCGTCAGTAGGAAATAACACCTTGACCTGTAAATCAATAATAAAGCTTATGGTTCATTAGTGCTAAAAAATTAATAGAGGTTTCATTACCTAAGCTGTGTGGCATTTATCGTTAACTATCAATGCTTAATATGCGGCCCTAATTAGCTACAAACTACTCAACTAGCTAATAAATGCTAGGACTGTGAGGTGGCAAAACTACTGAATATGAAACTGCCGACTCCATTTAGGTTCAGATCAAGCTTTTCGGGATTTGGTCTAATGTTCTTATGTGTTGCGCAGCATACACGCTTTAAAAAGCCGAAAAAAGAAGGTTGCTTTTTGACAATGCTTCCTAAAATACTTCAAGTAAGATGTGTTTGGTAAGGTGATAGTCTGTGGTGCAGTCTGACTTAATGAAAACAACGAGTACGTTCTTGCGATGTGCGTTTCTGTACCATTTCTATTTCTGTCGCCTTTAATCCATGTACACGCTTTTTTAGTCCATGTACACACTCAGCATACTCGATATGGTGGTGAATATATAATGTTAAGCGGTTAGTCTGTGAAGGAGCATAGTTTGTCTGGTAACAGCTTTCTGACTCAGTGGCAGCTTATTCGCTATGCGGCTTTCTAACTTCCACAAAAAGTTTGCGCTTTTGCTTTATATTTAAAGCAAGTGTTCACTGCCTCTTTCTTCTGCTTCCAGTTTCAGTCATGTTGGGATTTTTGTCGTGATGTTTCTACATGTCTTCGCAACTGTGGCCAAATGCCTGATTGTATTCTCCGTGGTATTCATCGCTTTCGCGTTATCATTTCACGTGCTGTTTCGAATTCCACAATACAAGGTTAGTAAGCCATTGTACTTGTGCCCGCTTAACTTGCCTATTATTTATTCAGGAACATTGTATATACCGCTGTCCGTTACTCATGTCAAGTACCTCGTTGGAGGTCCGGTCGCTTGCTAATGATAAATTTGGTATCCTGTTCTCAGATTTCTATGGTTTGTGCGTTGGCTTTCCGTCATCAGACAAAACACCACCTTCCTTGGGAAGTACGGCAAAGTAATATACAAATGATTATATCTTCCTTTAATACACATCAGAAGCCACAATTTGGTTTGCCTGTGCTATACGATGTGGAGGTCGGTGGTCGACTAGGTGAGTCGCAATGCTTCCGCAAGTCAGAATGCCCGCCAACTATTGATGCAGACTCTTACCAGCGTACTGACTTACGTTAATTTCAAGCTGTCTATGCTATGACGATATTGTGGTGATGAGTAGCATAAACATTACGGAAGTATTGGGGAGGCTAAGCAAATCGAATGACGGAAATGGCTAGTCAACAACGAAAAGTACTTGTAAATATCCACAACACGGATTAATATTAGTTATCAATGTAGACATGGTGAATAATCCCGATTATTTTTGTTTAAATGGGTGTGCATTCCTAAGGCTGTTCACTTAAACTGTAGCTCAGAAGATAAGATATCAAAATGGTCAAAACACAAGGACATTCTAACGTCGCAGAATGTAGCATTTAAAAAAATCATCGCTTATGCAACCACCACTTTTTGATTCATTGTGATTCACGCAATAACTCCTTAAATTATGTAAGTTTCAGTTTTCTTCTAAAAAGCTCGTACGCATCTTTCAAAGGAAAACCTCCGTCTCCTTTTAGGAGCCAGAAGAAACAACTAATCTGCATTATAAGTAAATAATTGAAGGCATTTTTCTAGACTGTGATTAGATGCTGTGCGTACATTTGATCAGCTCAATATGTTCCCAGATCAAAAGCTCATGCATAGATAGTGAAAAAAGTTGCGGAACATGCCCGGTGTTTGCAAATACCACGCAAAGCAGTGGAACAGTGTATTTTACCAAGTTTTTTGAAGCACTTGGCGGTTTTCCAAAACTAATGTTCCGGCCGCCGTTACGCTTGCATAGGCTTCTTTACATATAAGTTTGAAGAAGTTTGCCACGCCGAAGGTGTCATCTTCAATGTGTGCTTTTCATCTGACGCCTTAGGGCGACCTTTGTGCTTCGTGATACTATCGGCCGCAATGCGGTGTGCAGAGCCATTTTTAGGCACACATTTATTACGAAGCGAGGTCCATCTGTCAATTAATTTCACTCCAAACGCTTTGGGCAGTTTCAGCGCATTTAGTGATCTAATTAAATGGTAGCCTCATAAAAAGAAATCAGGGAGCGGTGGCGTTAGAAAAAACAATCAAAAAGTTAAACATTATGTCATGTAATACTAGAATTATAGCACGTTCTAAAAATGGGTGATATAATGAGGCGTCGTGCTTAAAAAGAAACTGACACAATGACATAAAATATAACCAATACAGTTTTGACTAACAAGTGAACTCGAGCTAAAATTCAAAACTGAGTGAATCGCCAACAAAAAATAATCTAATTTAAAGTAAAATATAGATAAACTAAAAGCAAAAATGACTACTCCGAACAAGTTTTTAGCGCAAATTAAGCTCAGAGTAAAACTATTGTCGTAAGAGTGATAGCTCTCAAATCATATGCTGTCTGTTAATAACGCCATTACTTTTATTTAACTAAAAATGGATTTCTTCTTTGCGAAAATATACAAAAATGAAAAAGCTATAACATTGGCGTATCTTCATTCCTAAAAGGGATGTGTATCTAGAAATATACAATAGAACCGAGACTCTCCGCATTAATTAGATACGACTTAAATGAACTGGTAGACAGCCCACGGTCAAAGTAGCAGTGTGTGCTTATTTCAAAGCATGTCGTACCACCTAAACCACTATGAATGTAGCGTTCTCAAATGTTAAACTTCCAAGTGGTAGTGGACCGTAAAAATAATGCTTCGCGTCCCAAGGTATAAATAAAACCTTAGGCAAAACTCGCAGTTTAAGCATACTTGCATTCTAATCCGTTCTTCAGTTACCGTCTGTCAGATGCCTACTGGCGATTCGAACATATACATCAACGTCTGGAAAGACATAGCAACGAAGCAAGCACAGGCAACAGGAAACGAAGCCATCACGGCGAGAGCGCGTTAGATGTGTATTTAAAATTCCTCGAGTCAGTCAAATGGTACAAACTGGTCAGTAACGGAAGTAATAAAATGATAGATAAAATTAGGTTTATTCGCATTCGGTACATGTCTTTCCGGGACAACATGAGCCAGGTCCATAGATTTTAGTCAGGAAAACATAGGGTACATTTGTCCCATATGATCCTGTTATACTTGTGTATTGCTTGCATAATAACTCAAGTTAAATCTCACTGAGCCTATTTTATACATCATAGGTATATGCCTCCAATACCAGTCAGGTACAGAAGTCAATAGCTTAAAGTAAGGAAATAAACCTCCGAAGGATTATCAAAATGATTTGAGATGTGAAATTCACCTGAAACAGCATTGATGGGGCATCGAAAACCTTGATTTTATGGGTCGATGTTTCTCGAACATGAAAAATTATTTTGTCTTATATGTTAAAGTGCACTACTGTGAAATTCTTTATCATTGTCGACCTTTATCTCTCTTATTTTTATAGTCTGATGCAAGTTTCGACGGTGTACATCAGGTTGACAATGTAATATGGGACTGGGATTTACTAGTTATCACCTTGGAGCATATTTTATTGGGCGGTGTTCTAGTTTACCATGCAACCTGAACGGACAATACTTTATGTCAAGAGTGTGAAAGTGCAAAAAAGAAGTTGTCAACGGTTGTTCACTCTCCACAGCGTAAAACGCATGGTAGGTTTTGTATCCAGATAATAGATAAAATGTAAGAAAAGTGTCTGTCTGCAAGTTCTGGATGTCCAGCCACCCGGGGTGACGAAGGTCACTCTGCCGCAGGGTTGGCTTTCATGCCAGGGCAATATAAAGTGGAAAAATGAATTTGCTGCCAGCAAAAATGGTTAAAGAAGAGGATCCAGTCTTTTATAATGCCCGTCTACTTGTGTTTCTACTAGTGATCGCCATATGTATAACACACATAAGACTAAGTATATGAGTCCGAGAGGATAAAGTGGAAAGCAACATGCCTGAATCTTGGAACTTTGTTGCTAACAGTGGTCACTTTGTCGACCAGAAGGTATATATATATATATATATATATATATATATATATATATATATATATATATATATATATATATATATATATATATATATATATATATATATATATATATATGATACATCAAGTGCAGTTAACAACAGCGGAGTTAAGCAGCAGGTATTTAAGCGTAATGAAAAGCAAAACTAATTAACAACTAGCACTTGTTAGTTTCGTATGCTCATAGAAGTACGAAGATTTGTTGGCCGTTCTTACACCTTTTATTATCACATGTGTCGACAGTAACAATAGCCTTTTACGTCTAATACGAAGCTTATGTTTGGTAGAATGCCTTTAGCAGACGTATCTCAAAGGTTGTAGGCTTATTCTTTTTTTCACAGACTCAGGGTCTAAGTATTCGAAAGGTGGTATTAGATTAAGTGGAAGATAAAGGGATGTAGGTGAAGATAGGATGTAAAAAATGAAGTTAGTCTGGGCAGATGGATTTGTTATTGCCCCACGGTATCCTATATGGGCAGTGCCATCGGATTTGTAAAGCTGCTAGCCAAAAGACTTTGCACATTGTTGATCTGGTTGCGCAGTAATACTGCGTAACCACTGATGAAGACAACTCGTAGGGGTTGAGATAATGCTTGGCCCTTGCAGGGTTCCTATGCGGTTGTGTCTACTATTCCCGTAATACAACTTTTGGACCAAGGTGCTGCACAATAAAACGAGCACATCAGAAAGAAATCGACTTGCGAAACCCATCGGATGATCGGATGTCTGGTCTCAACACATGAATGTTGCTTGTGACTGATCCAGTTGAGATCTCTTAAGCTTTAGATGGCACAGCAATGAATGTGGGCGACCTGTGTGTCCAAGGGGCTCTTATGTACCTATGCAAAATGGGTGTTATGTAAAGTTGAACTTCGGCAGACCGAGGCGTTGTCTAGTCCCCCTGCGTACTTGCCTCAAAAAAATGCTCATCAATATCGCAGACGTTGAAAAGGAGTTTTATGTTATTTAAACCCATAAACTTTTGTACCTCATGCTTGAAATAATGAGGATTGCAAAACTCTCGAAACCGTGATGGATCTTTGTTTCAACTATTTACGTAAGCTACTGGGAATAGACAGCGGTGCAATAGTCTAGCACCTATTCCTGAGGTTAACATCTGCTCTTCTTCTCAGTTTTAGACTGAATATATCACTATGCACCGCTTGGTGTATTACCTTATGTCGGACGTATAGTTTTAATGTAGTACATAGCAACCACAGAGGCTAAAATTTAAGATTAGCACATAACTCTAGGTAATTAAAGGCTAGCTTTTGTAGGGTTACCACTGGTTAATCGGCGTTGAACTTTTTCGAGTAGTATGCGATCTGGCTTTTGAAAAATGTTGCATACAGTTGTGTGCGCGTGGGACTCCGATAATGTTCTAGTCTTGCTTAAACGGTGTATATGTGGTGACCTCACATGGAAGGCTTGTTGTCATGCCTCTGCAAGTTGATATTTCACATGCTCTGAAAAGTTGAGGTTCACCGAATAGCGTATACCCAAATTTTTAACCAACATATTGCGTTGGATGGGTATGCCGTTTAACGTAATTGTGCCATTAAGTATGGAACATTTGTAGATCATGAGACTTGATTTATACGCCGAAAATAATAATTTGCTGCTGCTGCTGACACTAGGACTCTAAAACGTTTAGATTTTCGCGCATTTCATCAAGTGCGAATATCTTGACACTTGGAGGAAAGATATATACCACCTTTAGATCGTCAACGAATAGGAAAGGGCGGCTATACCTTAGGTAGTTCCAAATGGCATTCACGTACATCAAGAACAGACTTGGTCCAACCACACATCGTTGTATAAAACCACTGGAAACTGTGGCGGAGAGGGAATTTATCTGCGCAATTTTCATTGATTGCGTGCACCCGGTTAAATTGGATTCCAGCCAGTCGATTAAATGTCTGCGTACACCGTAAGCGTTAATTTTATGTAGTAGTTGTACATGGTGGACCCCATCGAACGCCTATTGCATATCAAGGTAGAGTGCGAATACTGCCATATCCGCATCAATCTCGTTAGTGATAAGGTTAAAGAAATGCAGCTGACAGGTTGTGCAGGATCGATCGCTTAGAAAACCATTTTATCACCTGCAAACATGATCTGCATAAGCGAATTCTACGAGTGCGCGTTTAACGGGTTTTTCCTTCATTATTACGATAATGGATGTGTGGTTTACGGTGCGCAATGTGTTGAATACCTGTATGGGGCCACCTTTGTAACGCAGTTTGAAGATAGAGTGCTTCCAAGCAGAAGGGCAATGGTTCTACTTCATGGATGTGTGAACAGTTTTAAGAGGAGTATGGAAAGGTCATCGCCCCATTCTTGGTTAAATAGGTGGAATTTCGCCAGGACCAACATTCATAGATGGCTTAATGGTTGAAACAGTGGTATGGATAGCTTCTAGGTCACATTGCACCGTACAGAGTGACTGATTGGCGAACATATGTAGCTCATCTTTGGCTGAGGACATTTCTATACATTGGGACACTTTGAAGTAAGAGCTGAAGACTTCGCATACAACGCATGGGTTCTCAGTTGCGTCACTGGGGCCAGCACGTATGGCAAAGATCATTCCTCATAATGAGGGGTGTGTGAACGCAAGATCCAGTTGAGTAGCTTGACTTGGTTCGCACTAACCATTGCTGCTGGTTCCTGGGTAGTTTCACTCCGCGTAGGTCTGGCTGACAACTGACTCCCAATCTCGTTATCAAGCAGATCATGGACAAATTTGGACTTCCTGTAGCAAGAACGTCGTGGTTGACGTAACCTGACATTCATCTTAGTTTGCCTCATATTTTTCGATAGATTTTATTTAGACAAGAAAAATAAGCCATGAGATCTACACAGTAATGCATTTCCTTTTAAAAGATCGCAGCCGGGCGCTCCTAGGTATGAACAACAAAAACTTATCTCAGTTCATTTACCTAATAGACATGGCAAAGGTAGACAGTTTATAGAATCCCAGGGGCGGTAACCCTCAAAGTTGGCTGTTATAACAGGACACATGGTCTGGCTTTTTAAGTACACCGAGCCATACATCACTCCGTGGCCAAGCCTCGTGAACCCTTGAGTTACAGAAGCTTGTATATTGGGTATAATTAAATTAAACTCTAAGTCTAATAAATGGTTGGACCTTGTCTAGACCGAAAAATGCTACTCAAATCTTTCCACTTTGATGCGGGCTGGTGGATCTACCTGGGAGGAAGGCAGTAAACATTGCAGACCAGGCTGGTTGAAATTCTCCGCGACAAGTTTGAATTCACTTTTTTGACTTGAGCATTAGTCGAAATTAGATCTAAATGCCCTGTCATTCATATAGGAGATATCAGCCGCCTTGAAAATGCATCCACAATATCAACTATTATCCATACAGTGTCCATTGTTTCGTCGCATTTTACTACTTCGATTGTTGCAGGGTAATTTTGCTTTAATCAGATGATAATCTCACTAGTTCGCTCGTGCGTATGAGATTGCGTATACAGCTAATAATTACGAAGAGAGTTGAAATCACCTAAATTGATGGTTTGAACACAAGTTTTGTCTACAACAATTGTGTCAGAAGCGGCAAGTAGAGCCAAGGGCCGTAGAATATGCATCTTGTTGTTCAGAGACCTGGCGTTTATAGTAATGACGGATAAAGAATGGTTGGGTCTCCTAGGTTTATGGATGACGCAATATAGGTGCGGGCACCTACTGAGCCATCTGTAGAATCTATTGGAATTGGGTCCGTAAATATAAAATCCTGCTGTTCGATAGTGATCTGTTGAGTGTCGGGACAAGCTTATCGCGGCCCATCCCTACGTCATAAAAAGTTTGCTTGTTATGATAGGCGAGAAGGCAATCTGTTGGCCTAGTCAGTTGTTCCGATGGTATTTCTCTATGGTAGCCATCTACGGGATGAAGTAGGTGCACGATCTTCTGGAATATCGCAATCCTGCTCTGGGGCACATCGAGTAATATTAGAATAACTGCTGGCCGTAAGTGCCCTGTTTACAGTTGAGAGGTATTTGGTTGTTCTGCAAGTATCCTGGGGCTACTTTCAGTACCGCGAACCTTTGCGGTTTTACATAAACTTGACCAATCATGGATGCGACGGATAGTCGTTCACCGTTATTCACAACGGAGTACAGTTCAGCTTCATCGTTAAAACTTGGTTTGATCAAAGCAGCGAAGTTGCTGTTTAATTTGTGAAGTCTCTTCCACAGAGATTGCTGCTAAACCAAAGACTGCGATGATTAATCGCATAAATGTTTGCGATGAAATATCGTCGGTAACCTTGACAAGCAGTGTGTTGCACAGAAAATTGCCTCATCTGGAAGCTCGTTGTATTAAAGCTCCAGTCTTTGCAGCTTCCTGGTTAGATGAGGACTGTATAGGTGTCTCAGGTGAGTTAATTGACCTCAACCTTGCGCAGGGTCGTTTAGCTCTGTTCACCAGTGTTTTACCAGCTACAATGTTGTGTTCGAGCCTACGTGTCTGTTGTCACTAAAGACCAGGATATACCCAGCGCTCGCTGATTGCTATTAGATTTAACAAGCTAACCCCCGCACCAAAGTCGTGATGAGCTCCCAATTCGGTTTGTCCTAAGTGGCTCAAATTACAGTTGTTTCTGCTCAGTTCTATTGCGCAGTCCATCATAATCTGTCATAGCAGAGCGTAGAACTGATTCTTCTTTAGCATTCGATTGAAAGATACCATCCGTATTTTTGCAAGAAAGCTACCCCCACTACTAAGTGGCGAAAACGGAACCAGACAAACACTTGTTATTCCTCACTAATATATGGGCAAGTTTTCTGCTACTGACATACAAATTTCTTATATGCAGAGAAAAGTTTCGATCCCCTTTATTACGATTTTCCTTTCAAAAAGCCATCAAATAAGGTCGCGTGCAAGTTGCCAGGATAAACACTAGTAGTTTAAGTTTTTGTAAGAGACATCGTTTGCTTTCACAGAATAAACTAGTATCTTAATTTTCTGTAGACCAACTCGCACACCTTTGGTCTTCCAGCGCTGTTCTACATGCGTGAGAGCATGTCTTACGCGATATTGACTGCGAGAAATCTCATGATTTTGTTGCACCTTACCGTCCCCGCTACGCATCAATTTTAATTTTATAAATGTTTTTGCCGCCGGAAAATCTAGGAGTAAGTTAAACTCCCTTCCACATCTACAAACATATGCCTATTCTCACAAAGTCATTCCATGGATTTGAGTATATTCATTCCTGCCAAGATGATCCTAAACCTTGCGCGGCCTGCCAAAGATCGGTTCAAAGGTAGCGAAATTATTGTGTTCTAGACGAATGTAAATAGGAATGAAATGCCACTGAAACCTATGAAGTCATGAAAAAGCCTAATTAAAATGTAGCCTGAAACACCGACAGTACACTGTGTCGGTAGAATAAGGAAAGAGTCTTTAATTTCGCAATGGTATTACAACCGCAATTTATAAGTTGGAACCTCATGAATCTTCTCATCTAACTTTTTCGGACACAACGGAGTGAATTGTGTTGGAAGTACATTTCCTTGCACATTATCATACCCATCTATGTGTCACGTGAAGAACGGAGAAGCTAAAACCTTGGCAACTATTTATTATGGAAGCTATTGTGAGTTATTTATGTGTATCATTTTTATTAGTAGTAAACATTGTAGCCTGCTTCGCTCTCATTTCCTGAATAACCGCTCTTATACTGTAGGTATGATGTTCCATTGTTTTCCCCTATAATATTTGTTGTACGAGAGTAGAGTTTTACTGGCCCAATGACTTTCACTTTTAGGACTTTTTAGAATTAAACCGTGAAAGACGTGAACAAGCAGCGTTCTGTTTTGGAACGCTTGGACAATTTGCAGCACTTAGCGAAGATAATCTGACCAAGGCCGATATCGCCATCGAATTGCAACCATTTCAATACTTTGGGCTATCAATGTTCAAAACCCTGATGATGATGCTTGGTGAATACGAACACACAGCTACGGTGATTGAACCGCTGACGGGAAACAGTCCATTGTCTGTTCACTATCCGGCCATCACATTGATCTTCTATATAGCATTTATCTTCTTAGTTCCCATCATCATTATGAACTTACTGGTGAGTCTTAGTAATCGAATTGGCTACAGTAACTAGAAATGAATTTGCTATGTACGTTTGAAGCTGTGTCCCCTTGCTCCATTTGTTACAACAGCTGTCATCCGTCTTAAGTGTTTCGTCGTATAAAGCGCGATGAATTTATGGCTAGCCAAGTTTCATGCAAATATGTTCACAGTTTCTGGCATTAATGTTTCTAGTGATATTTAGTCCGCATTTAATATTTGTGTTTCCAATAGCAGTTTCTGTCAGCCTGCGAAGATATTATTGCCTGATTGCGAGGATTACGAGCTGTGGTTGCATTTGTAGTGCTGGTATAACCTAGCGTAACTTGGTGTGTGTTTTCATGTCTCCTTGATTTTGGGACACTTAACGAACCGAATGTTTTTGATTCACTGAGATGTTTACTCTCACTGGCCGCGACCAGCTTCACTGTTTCTTGACCACTGTCCAGCTGTCAATTACCATCACATAGATGACATGCTCTAAGAAATTGCTACTCGGTATTAAGTAAATGTTGGATTCAGTATGTTCATAGAGGGTCCTAACATGTTTGGCGACGACTTGGTAAAAAGATATTTAGCTCACTCACCTTGCGCATATCTCGCGTGTGCTTTCTTCATTAATATTTGAGGTAGCGGATTACGTACACATTTCAACAGTGATCGCTGGCTTACCCCACCATCTCGTTCTCAGGTGAGCCCTGTTTGTTCTCTATGGTCAACCGAACCTGTTGTTAAGACACTAGTGCTCTGTCAATTAGATAAATCTTTCTATGGGTAACATAGGTGTCAACAATTTATCCAGATCGTACCGGTACCAGTAAAGGTGCGTGGCCCAGTGCCAGCTAGTCATGTACTTAGCAACCGTTCGATCTTGCGACTGTCAAGCGACTACAAACACTTAAACTTCACAACCACGTAAACATTCGATTAATTGGCACAGATTTGACTACTCAACTTAAAAACCAACGTGAACGAGTTAAAACAACCGAATGACAACATTTGCCCACCTACTCCCTTTGCTGAAACGCCTGCGATTCAATGAATAAAACCTACTTTCCTAAACAGACAGTTCGCTTTTTCTTGCCTTGCATTAAAAGGCTTGTCACAAAAATGCAGATTGAAGTTAACAGCCATAGGTTTACTAACTCCTTTATGCATTGTATGACTCTGTACATGAGATAACAATCCTATGATCCGTGAATAAACCGATGATGATGACGAAGGAAGTAATTTGTGTTCCACTGTTCGCCGAGCTTCGCAATGGGTATGCAAAGGTTCAATACCACAAGAGGTCACTTCCGCAGCGCGCTGCTGGGTCAAACGTAATCCGCTGACTTGGTCGTCGATTTGTGATTGATTAGCATGTGCCTTTTACATTGACCTTCTCGATCTGTGCCAAATGACCATCCGCCTACCCTTCTTCTCTGGTAAGATGGTTTTGCCCGGACTGTTGCGGATGTGAAGTTGACGGCTCGTTTAGCTGCTCACGACGGTATGTAAGTTGTTTTAATTCTCTCCGCCTTAGCGTTTCGTAAACTGGCTCAATGTCGACGTGCATGTTTATCCAGTGCTTCATCGATAGGCATGAACACTTGTAGGACAATTTGGAAATGTATGGCGCAGATCATGATCAAGGAGGAACACAAACGCATCAGGAAATATGTGCCATGTATCAACGAGCATGGAAGTAGTTGTCTGAGAATTATGGGACAACAGTTAACAGAGCAGCTGAGCTTAGCAATAACACGTAGAGTGGATAATACTAGGGGAAGTAAACAAGGCAATAAAGAAAGAGTTTCTTTGAATTAACATGACGATAGCGAAGCAACTCCCGAAGATTGGATCCGAAATCTTTCCAATAGGCCACTATTCATAGCAGAAAATTCTCTTCACTAAGGGGCTCAACTACAATTTAAAGATGCTGTAACTACAGATTTCCTGTTCGGATTCAAAAGTACAATGCAGTCCAGCGGGTTTGACGATTATCCTTGGAAACAAGTAAGATCTACAATTACTCTTGATGTAACACGCAACAAACAGCCTAATTCCATACCAGCAGGAAATTGATGAAATGAAAGTCTAGAAATCTGATGAATCCATTGTCATTTTACCCGCGGACGAGGATCCCTTGACGGTTATATTGAGTAAAACGGATTATGTCGAAAATGCAAAACAGCTTCAGAGGGACACAACAACCTACGGCCGCATCGAAAATCATCCAACAACGCAATTGACATACTGAATAACCAGAAGGTTGCGGTTGCTCCAGGAACGGAACCAGATCACAAAGGACGATCGTGACCGAATGACGGCCAACCTTCTGAACATAGCGCAATTCTACGGACTTCCAAAAATACATAAAGACAGTGCACCACTAAGACCAATCGTATTGCTCCCAGGCACACCTGCGTTCAACCTAGCAAGAGAGTTGTGGAGACGTCACAAGCATTTAAGAATTGGATCACAGCACTCTATACATAGTCCACTACAATTTATGGAGAAGCTCAAAGTTATAAGTGTAGATCATGACGATACGATGGTATCTTTCGACTTAACCGCACTCTTTACTTCTGTCGATTTACAGACAGCAAAGCAAGCAATTATCGAACGATTGGACCAAAGTAAGAAAACAATCAGAAACCTGACGAGTATAAATCTGTGCAAGCTACTTGACCTATTCCTCGTGATTTACTTCCTTTTTGTTGGGCAGATCAATGAGCAGGTGAAAGGGGCTTCTATGGGATATCCTGTGTCAGCACCTGTTACAGAAATAGTAACCCAGAAACTTGGAGATAAGATACTGCCCGTAATCAGCCAAAAATTGTGGATCCCAAACGTCCATGATACATTCGTGATACCGAAACGTGGTGAAGTAGAGGCTGCTTACGAGTTGCTCAACACCGCCATCGAGAACATTCATTTTACGATGGAATCGGGGATAGAAGACCAGCTCCCATTTTGGGATGTGTTAGTCACCACGAGGATTGACAAAGAGTTACAAACATCAGTTTACAGGAAATGAACACACATCGATCAAATTTTAAACTGCTACAGCAATCACCCGAAATGTCACAAAATAAGCTGAGTGCTGACTTGGAGGGTTTCGGTGTGGCTCTCTCCTATCCCTGCACTCCACGACCGACGGTTTCGTCTTGGTTTAGACTCATCAGGTAGAGATAGCTGAGCTAGGAGTGGAACTGGGGCATAGTGTCTGGCGGCTATCGCCATGATCACTAGGCCATTGAGTTCCGCGAGCAGTGTTTGACACAGCGGTTAGAAGTAGATTTTCGGGTTTTTTGAAGCACGCGCCGCGGGTCTTGGATTGTGACGGGCAATCTCACTAGTGGCGGCGGTTGAGTTTGAAGTCAGCATCTGCCACTAGTGAGATTGCGCGTCGCAATCCAAGACACACGGCGGGTGCTCCAAAAGCCCAAAAATCTGAGTGCTGACTCTTCCCTACAAGTAACACACATTGTAGCACTCTAGTGGCGAAGCGGAAAGAAGCGATATATCTGTTCATTGCATTTCATCTAAATGGATATCCATGTATCATTGTCCAGCGATGTCTAGCCAACAACGCTATGACCTCTTAGCCTGCTCAAACGACAACAAAGAGAATCGTTCTACCTTATGTAAAGAACATCTCCGAGATAACGGCAAGATTATTCAAGCAGTACGGTCTTACAGTGAATCACAAACCAACCGCCACCTTGAGGAAAAACCTGTCGAAACCCAAAGCTAGATCTGAAGCCCACGAAAGACGAAATGCTGCTTAAAACATTCGGTGTCAAGATTGCGCTAAGAGCTATGTGGGTCAGATAGGGAGAAAACTGACTACAAGGATACAAGAGCATAAGAGAAATTGTAAGAACCCCTACGCCCTCTCACTGGCTTCAATACATACAGGTCATTGGAAGTGGTGGACAAATTCTTTTACCTCGGAAGCTGCCTCAGCGCTAATGGTTTAACGCATGTGGTCACTTTGCGCGTCTCAAAAGTCCGGGTTGGTTTTGCCGATCTTCGCCATCTCTGACGTCGAGGTGATCTGCGTTTAGCTCTGAAGGAACGCGTTTACAATGCCATTGAAAGTGGTTTTTCTCTTTGGCTGCGAGAGTTGGTCTGTTCGCACAAAGGATGTTGAGAGGCTGTCTGCTTTGATCACCGCTGCCTTCGGAGCATTGCTGGTGTACGATAAAAACATCACACTAGGAATGAAGATATTCGACGAAGGATTTTCAGATCTGAGAGACCTTGCCGGCCACTGAGCAGTATAATTGCCCTGCGCAGATTCAGTGGCTTGGGCACGTTCTCCGCATGCCTACTCATCGCTTACCTCACTGTGCCCTCTTCGTGCACGCAGTAGTCGGCTGGAAGCGAAAGCAAGGTGGCCAACGGATGACTTGGGACAGGAGCATGAAGGAGCTAAACTTAGCCGTGTTAGGGAGCTCCAGTCTCCGTGGCTCGAATGTGAAGGATCCAGAACACATAGGCTTGAAGCCCTCTTGGACACGACAAGAAATCTTGCACAATGGCTGAATTTTGTGACTCACAATCCAGCACAGCACTGGATAAACATGCACGTCGACATTGAGCCAGTTTACGAAACGCTAAGGCGGAGAGAATTAAAACAACTTACATACCGTCGTGAGCAGCTAAACGAGCCGTCAACTTCACATCCGCAACAGTCAGGGCGAAACCATCTTACCAGAGAAGAAGGGTAGGCGGATGGTCATTTGGCACAGATCGAGAATGTCAATGTAAAAGGCACATGTTAATGAATCACAAATCGAAGACCAAGTCAGCGGATTAGGTTTGACATAGCAGCGCGCCGCGGAAGTGACCTCTTGTGGTATTGAACCTTTGCATACCCATTGCGCAGCTCGGCGAACAGTTGAACCCAGGAACGATCAACCCAAGCCACCAAGTCATTTTATAAGAATTACTGTTCAATAATTCCAATTATGTTAATATGGCTTTCATTTAGCGGTGACAGTACAG